GCCCTCGTGTAGCTTTGCGCGAAATTCAAAACAAACAAACATCATTTGAAAATCAGGGACGGCTAGCTTTGAAATCGTCTAAATCATTTAGACCTAAACGAAAGAGCCCCAAATCTATATAAAACTGCACCGAGTGTAGAATATCAACGGAGCATTGCCATTAAATATTCCAATTTAATATAATTTCGAGTGAAATTTCTGTTCTTGCTTATTTGTCGCGGTACAATGTGGATTCAGAAAAGCACGAAGGTTGCCCGAAAAACGTTTTCATTATTGTATTTATTTTTTCCACTTAAATCATCTTGCAGGTTTTAGGAATTGTTTTAAACAACTGTGTTCTTTCGTTAGGACGAATTCTTAAAATTAAACAGTGGCGCAAGAGACATATTTGTGCCTGGATGTTAGGTTTGGTTTGTTTAGAATTTTGCGCAAAGCTACACGAGGGATATCTGCGCTTGCTGTCCCTAATTTAGTAGTGATAGACTAAAGAGAAGGTGGGCAATCAACACCACCCACCGCCAATTCTTGGACTACTCTTTTACCAACGAATAATGGGAGTGGCCGTTACATTATAATGTCCCCACGGCTGAAGGAACAAGCATGTTGGGTGATGGGATTCGAATCTGCGACCTTCTGATTGCGAGTCGAGCACCTTAACCACCAGGCCTTGTGGATGTCAGAATTTACATTTTCTAGTAGCATTAAAAAGGCGGGAACTTTAAGAATAGAGTTAGGAACCAATACATAGTAATATGCTTCATCCTACCATTTAACAATGCGGATACTTGAAATATAGGTTTCTTATGATGTACAATGTTAGCTTTTTCATCCGTTTAGTAATGTTTAAATGTTTAAACGAATAACGCTCATTTGTTTGTTCAAATTATTTTACCAAAAAATGTGTACTAGAATATATACGTTTCAAGTATAAATTTCAATGAGCTACAAGATAATTAAGATCTTCGTGACTGTTTGTTTTTTCTTTTTGTCTGTTAGTTTGTTCATTTTGTAAAGTGTTTTTTTCTTCTGCTAACCCCATCTCTAATGGCGTGAAGGGAGAATAATTAATGTTTTATTTGTTTCCTTTTATATGCTAGAATATGTACAAGTTCCAACATTGTTTGGATGAAACGGTTAAGAAATGCGAAGAAAGTTTATGAAAGTATAACATTATTATTAATGTATTCAAATGGTCGAAATGCGACTAAACCAAATTCTGAAAACCTAAAAACTATAAGTCTAATAAACTAAACAAGTTTACTAAGATTATATATATATATATATTATTAAGAATAAGGAATATGTCACTACAGAACTTTTTCACAATTTCAGTATAATTCCTAATAAAAGTTACTGAGCTACCAACATGTCTATTTTAAAAACACTAATAAAAAAAAGGATTCGTTGAGCCAGTCAAAGTTCGGGTGGAAAGCTCAATGATATATCATGTTAATACTAATCTACTCTATTCGGGTTTCGTGCAACAACATTTAAATTAAAACTCCATCGAAGGGCGCTTATGATTTATCGTAATATGAGAAAGGATTTGTCAGTAGCAGAATCAAACAAAGTGTGGAAAGAAATATTATTCCTAAAGGTTTCAAACTCAACACACATCCAACCCATATATATTGCTTCTAATATTGTTGTAACGTGTTCTTGTGTTGGGCGGGTTATTTTAAATTTGTTTGTTTGTTTGTTTTGGAATTTCGCGCAAAGCTACACGAGGGCTATCTGCGCTAGCCGTCCCTAATTTAGCAGTGTAAGACTAGAGGGAAGGCAGCTAGTCATCACCACCCACCGCCAACTCTTGGGCTAGTCTTTCGCCAGCGTACACTGGGATTCGCCGTCGCATTATATCGCCCCCACGGCTGC